AATACAATATTAAAATTAAAAAATTATAAATATAATATAATATAATATTATATATAATATAATATTTATAATATTTATTTAACTTAAAATTTTAGTACTTTAAATTTTTACTAATTTAAATCTTCTCAGTTTCTTTTGATGCTAGTTTTGGTAGTTAATTCACAATTAATTCGTATATTTGGGTGTATTTTGATTAAATTGAAATGTTATAAGTCCGACCTATGTTTCCGGTTAATTATAAATAATAATGTTGTAATTGGATTTTATGTAATTGCCATTTTTATAGTTTCTTTTATAACAGCAATTTGCTTTTTCCAATAAGTGCATCGCGATGCAATGATTATGATACACGTTTTATCTCTGATAACATTGGTTTTATTCCTATGCTATACATTGCGATACATGATAAGGAACTGGTTAAAACTCTACTACATAATGTTTGTTTTATATGTGTACAAATATAGTGGGTATATTTCTCATTTTTCTTTATATCTAAAACAATATTCATTGTTTAACACGTTCATCGAATTAAAAAAAAAAATTAAATAACACGTATGTGCAAACACATGTTGGCAAAGAAGTTCTGAAACAACGAAACAGTTTCATGAGATTTGATAATTACGAGCAACATGTTTATTAACGCACAAGATTTCTTAAAAATCAATCATATTATTATAATAATCGTATTGTAATATTCTTGTGTACAGCGTAGCCTGTTACATAGAATATTTCTATTATATATAAAATATTTTCAAATTTTGTTAATAAGATCGATATGGGAAATGTGTCGTATTTCAATTAAAAAAATAAAACAAATGACATGGATGAAATTTTCAATGAAAAATAGTTTTAAATGCTACAGATTAAATGAAATGAGTATATCTCGACAGGTAAAATGTTTCTCAACGGTGAAAATGTATAATAAACTAAAACCGAAGAGAATACACAATGTTCATTTTTTTAAGCTAAGCTCTTTTATAAACAAAAAGAATTAATCTAGTAAAACAGAATGATCTTTCAACAGAATTGGCTTTGTTATACTTTGACAATACTCACTTCGTTACGCAGTAAATTTTAATTTTAATAATACAGTTATTGTTAACAATATCGTCACTAAATATTTCATAAAGAGTCACGTACCAGGAGATTAAGGAACTGCAATATCTACATTCGTGAAGATATGAAGTAAATTCCGAATATGCTTATATTATCATTCAGGCAAAGATTAATATCTCCAGAAGTATAATAATTGATCGTGATGATGAATAAACAGAAAATAAATTCAAACAAACAAAATGACACCATAATATGCATTCAGATTTTTCTTATCTAATTTATGAAAAATTTTCTCAATGAGATACAAAATGAAAAAGCGATTTTATCATTCTGAATACGTAATTTCAAGCGATTAAATCTTTTCCTCGATTCAACATGAGATCAGCAGATGTTCTAATTTTTTGTTACTTCCATTGTAATTTATTCTCATATTCGTCAGTGCTTAACTGCAGTTGCTTTTTATTATACATACGGCGCAATAACGTGAACTGTTTATCTAATTCACTCGATGATTTATCAATTTAACCGTACTGCGAGCCTTTTTTTTAATGTCACGAATTTTTTTTATGTCACGATCTCGTCTCAGTTTCAATCGAGATAAAGATTTTTAATGCTCAACTCTGCAACGGTTCTCAAATTTTTTATTATCTCGGTCTTGCATTCAGTATTCAACAAAGTGATTTTCCATCCATTGGTTTTAAAAGAGATTTAAAGTGACAGTGAGAAAGGAAATTATAATAATAGTGTAATATATTATATAATATATTAAATATATTAAATATATTAAATTTAAATAAAATTTGTTTTTTGTCTATATTATAGAGAATTATATTACAGATATATATTCATTTCTCTTATCAGTTATAATTTATAAAATTATGGTACTTTATTCTTCAAATTTTCTTTTGGTCATCGCTCGAATTAAATTAGATTTAATCTTCATTAAATGTAGAATACTCTGAAGTCTTCTAACTTGAATTAAAGAATTTCAAAATTGAGTGACGTATAAATTCAAATATAATCCAATCTGTCATGGTTATCTATGATTCAATAATACCACTTAAGGCTTAAGAAGACAAACTTTTGCTGGAACAATCTACCGCATTGCATTCTATTTGTGCATCATTCTAACATCATTTATTTCATTCACTTATCATTCAATTTTTTTAACGCTACATAATTAAATATATCGACAAATTGTAAACGCAAGTTGAGTACGTTCATCACTGAAAACTACAAAATTTGTCTAAAAGATGATCGAGAATCTACAAAGTGACTACATAGTCAAAATTTGCTAAACATAGATATTTTTCAAAATTACAAAATTTATTAGATTT